CATGGCTTAACGACGGCTAGTTGAGTAAGTTCACCCCCGCGCTGAGCGCGAACGGCATTGTGGTTTAGCGCGACGCGGGAATCCAAACTAGTTTCCTTCGGAGCCCCCAGATCACGCTGCCCTCACGCCCCCCGGATCCTGCGCTCTCCGCCTGGGGGGCTCCGGCGTGGGAGGGGACCCCTTCCAGTCTCCCGTCCCCTTACCTGGGCGGTCCCAATCGTCTCCGGGAACGGCCCATACTCCATGGAGCTGTAGAGATCGTAGACTGAAGGGGCCCCGCGGCTGCCTTCCGTCGCTGAGGAGCCGGCCATAGACCCCAGTCGTGACTGCTCCGTCCTGACAGCGCAAAGCACCAGCCGCGCAGCTGGAAAGCATCCCCACTGCTTTAGAGAGGCACTTCCGGCCTCCCAACTGCCATAGAGATCAGGTGGGTGCAGAGAAGGGACCCGCCATAAGGCTAGGGGGCGGAACATAAACTGACTATAGAGATAGAAAAGTAATTCTACCCTCAATGAGGACTTTAGCATAGCGCGGCATCACACACATTTTTTCCCCCTCAGATTGGTGACAGATGGCTTGGTTATTTTTCAAAATGCTATGCTCAGAATAAAAGCAAAGCCCCCCCCCCCCCCCCGAAAATCTTTTCAGACTAATACTTCTTATTCCAGGGCACTTTTGACACCATTCACCCCTTTCATGGGATAGAAACGAGAGAGAGGCATCTGAAGGAATGGAGAAATCTAGCCTTTTAGTCTAGCACAGTCCTCTTTGGTAGATTAAAAAAACTGCATGTTACATTTTTGAATGAGGAAAGCTATTAAACGTAGCCCAACTACTTACCATCCTCACCAAAACAGGGATTGCAAATTACTGTTCTGTTATTCATCACCATCACCATCATAATATTACAGATAGTTCCCAGTTTAAGAAGGAGTTCCGTTCCCAAGGTCTGTCCTTAAGTTGAATTTGTATGTAAGCTGGAACAGTATTATTGTATATTACTATATAAATAGTATTGTGTAATTAACTTAAACCACTGTGTATTTAATTCAAATCATTATGTATTTAACTCAAATTTTGCTAGAATAGGCTCCGTTCTTAACTATGGGTCGTCCTTAAACTGGGCGTTCTTAACTCAGAGACTATCTGGTGCCTTCATCTCAGAAGTGCCCTGAAGGGAGCAGAGGAAGTTATTTGCAACAACACCCCAACTGAGGCACATAATTCACTGCTAAGCACTTGGAGTGGTTCAAATTATCCTGTTTTGGACAACTTATGTAAAGACCTAACTCCCTGGAGAAGGCTCCAGTGCTGGGAAAGGTGGAAGGAAAGAGCAGAAGAGAAAAACCAGCAGAAGGTGGATGGACTTGGTTACAGTGGCGATGGAAGCACCATTGGATGACCTGAAGGACCAGGTTAGGGACAGTTCATCATGGAGAAAATTTACCTATGTGGTCGCTAACAGTTGACAATGTCTTGAGGGCACATAATGAACCAATCAACCAAAAGACTTGGAGCAGAGAAAATAGCACTTTATAAAGCTGCAGCAGTGTGTTCTAATGGCAGAAAGTGAAGAAGAACTAAAGGGCCTCTTGATGAGGGTGAAGGAGGAGAGTGCAAAAGCTGGCTTGAAAC